TCCATCGCAACAATTTATTTCTATAGTATGCTTCCAAGCTTTCAAAATTGATGATATGCATATAATAAATAACTTTTTTTTTGAAATTTTTTATCGCTTATACTTCATATATTATATTTTATCGCTCATTCGATACTGATAATATTTTGTGATTACATTTTTCAACGACGCAATAAAGTCAAATTTCGCTATTATTTTTCTTCGCTTCTTCTTTGGAAAAATTTAAACTCACAATTCAATCAACCATTGAGGATCGCACATAATGAAATTAATCTTATTTTTAGCATAATGTGAGAAGCAGCTATTTAACTGATTTAGATTTCTATTATACAACTAACATTTTATATTTATTTTATCGTCAGTCATTTTAAAATTGTATTTTTTTATACATTTATTTTTTCATACATTTTTAATAAAAGAAAATTTTATTATATAAAGAATGGGCTTATAACATTGAAATCTGATTCATTAAAATCTGATTCATTGAAATCTAATAAATCTTGCCAAACATGAAAAAATTGTCTGCTTTTTTACTCATTGCATTCTTAACAAACAACATGTTTGCTATTTGCGAACAAATTTTATAAATAATGTTCTAAATAAATATTCCATAACTTTGAATCTAAAATCGATTAGACACAATACTTTGATGAATGTAATTGTTGAGTTTTAAATTTAGACATTAATTATTAACAAAGTTATTATATAAAATGTGTAAATAGAAGATCATACTCTCCTCTTTATGTATAAAAATGCAATTATGTAAAATGTGTAAATAGAAGATTATACTCTCTTCTTTATGTATAAAAATGCAAAGATCGGTTTCATCGAACAATTTTTTCCTGTAACCGAAATAACTTAACCTTATAAGTCTTACATCACTATTCAAATACCACAATTTAAACGATGACCTAAGAAAGCTATAAAAAGCAACAATCAGAAGATACGATAGTACCTCACGCTAATGTTAGGCAATGTTGACATAAGCTAACTTCATGCTTGCCAGTATCTTAGTTTCGAAGTTTCATACGACATGGTAGTTTTGCCAACGAAGATAAGTAGTATTTGAGTACGTTACATCATTAGCGACTTATAGTATAAGTAAAAATATATCGTTAAACAACAATAAAGAGATTGAAAAGTATTCATAATGAAGCTTATAATGAGTTGTTTTTATTGTACTGAAATGATTCCACGCGATATGTCTCGGGGAAAAATTGTATTATATATGTTTAGACTAGATGTATTAATAATTAATTATCAAAATATATGTGATGCGTAAGAATGAAAGATTTCATTGACGTGATAAAATTTGGGAATTCTGTCAAGAAGTTTCATTATTAAAAAAATTTACAACTAGTAAACTCATGTTTTTTAAAAAATAAAGTTGTTAAATGTATTTTATAATAAAATAAATGGCGAATTAAAATTGTGTAAATATTAATAAAAACATTTATTTAAATAATGCAAAGGGAAATAATGTATTCACGCGGCTTAATATTACGACAAACATGCGAAGATAACCGATTTCACAATGATTTTATCAAATCGATATTTTTTTTCGCTGAAATGACTGTTGACCCAGTGAATCAATGTTTTCACTTATTGTCAGATAATTTTATTTATATAACATGATTAATTCATAATTCTTTATATATTTGATATATTCATACAGCAGTGTAGTGTAATTAATTGTAATCAATATTTATCACACATTTAATCAATTTGGAAACGGTACGTTTCCGAAACGATTCTATTTTGTCGGAACTAGTTACTCAAAGCGAATTAAATCTATTTTCTGAATACAAGAATTAATCTGTTATTAAATCGATTGTTGTGTTCATGAATAATGGATTAAGAATAAAAGAATATGCAAAGTAACAATTCATGCGCGAACGTCTAGACGCTCGGAATCTGGAGACACTGGTAGTGTCTCGGCGCTAAGCTGTGCGAAAAACGACACTGTTTTATATTCACGCGGATGTAACTCAATAATAATTTTCTAAATAAAAACGATATCAAGAACAGTTTTGAGTTGGTTAGAAAATTTGATGGCTTACCAATAGATAACAATTGCAATTTAGTATCATTTGATATCACCTCAATGTATACTAACATTCCGAATGAATTAGCTTTGAATAGTATTTTAAGAAGATGGAATTTTATTGAATGTAACACAACAATACCGAAAAATGAATTTAAATTGGCTGTATCTATCATTTTAAATTCCACGTTTTTTAAATTTGACGGATTGTTCTTTAAACAAATTTTTGGCTTACCCATGGGATCTCCGCTCTCTCCGATATTAGCTGTTACTGTAATTCAAGATTTAGAATCCAACATTTTTAATAAACTTTCCACTCATGTCCTTTTCTATTTCCGTTGATGATATCATTATGGCTCTTTCAAACGATCAGATTGTCTCCACACTGAATTATTTTAATTCTTACCATGAAAGAATATAAAGTTCACAGTTGAACATGGTAATAATGAAGGATTAAACTTGATGTAAAATTGTTAATTGAGAATGGCAGATTAACTTTTGATATTTATAAAAAGCCCACGGACTCTGGACGATATTTAAATTTTTATTCTAATCCTGTGATACACAAGAGAGGAGTAATAATAAGTCAGCTAGACACAGAGTTATATTTCTTTCTCACCCGAAATTTCACGAAAAGAATATCATAAATCTAATTAATACTTTTTTAAATAACGGATATTCTTTACAATTTTTGTTTTTAACAATTAATAACAGAATAAAATCTTTATCTTACAATAAATCTTTCGATTGTATTAATGAACATAGCAAAAATATAGATTCAACGGTTTTCCTGCTGTTTTTCATTCAGTTCATGTGGAACCCATTTTCCCATCTTCTGGATCTTTCCCATGGATTTCAAACGTATGGAGACGGCTTCTCGTGTCACATTCAATTGATCCGCGAGTTGTTGTTGAGTTTGAGCGTCATCCTCATCCAACAATGCTTGCAATTCGCTGTCTTCAAACTTTTTCGGTGGTTTTCCACGTTCTTCGTTTCTCACGTCAAAATCGCCACTTTTGAATTTTTTAAACCACTCAAAGCACTGTGATTTACCAAGAGCATGCTCACCGTAAGCTTCGACAAGCATTCGATGCGATTCTGCAGCAGTTTTCTTCAAATGGTAACAGAAAATCAATGCTGTCCGCAAATCGTAGTTTCCAGGTACAAAATTCGACATGTTCAACGCTATTACAAACTATACTGTTGTATGAACCTTGTATTGTTGTGAGTCGAAAATCTTTGTCAGATGTCAGAACAAGGAAATGGCGTCAATTGAACGGATGAACGCTCTCTCTCTCTCCCTCTCTCTCCCTCCCCCCCTCTCTCTTCTCCCCTCTCTCCCCCTCTCCCTCTCCCGCTCTCCCTCTCCCTCTCTCTTTCTCTCTATGTAATAAGTAAGAAATCACTTTAGGAGACCTCAACTTTCGGCAACTTTTCTCTACCTAGACAATCGAGCCGGGATCGGGAGTAGGATAGAATTTTCAGGCTTCAAGTAGTATATCTAGAGACACACGGCAGTGTCTCGGCGCCAATAATATAAGAACACGAATATACGAGCGTGTAACTATTCACACAACACGAAACAAAATCAAATGTAGCACTTTCTGTAAAATTGATAACGAGCAATTTACAATAATCATAATCAACCGATAACGTCATAAATAAAGAAACATAACAAAATGTGGTTTTTCAATCAAATGTGCACAAGCAAAGCGCTTCTTGATGGTAAAACTGTTGTGGTAACAGGAGCAAGTAGAGGTCTTGGGAAGGAGACTGCCAGAGATTTATATGCAAGAGGTAATTGTATTAAAATATTTTCAATGAAATTTAAGTTATCCCGAATTTGAAATTCAAGTACATATTATATAAAATAAATAAAATATATGTGTTATTAATTAAGATGTGTCTGAGTCCAAAATATCATTATAGGACTATTCGTGTTGTATTCACATTTTATATTCAGAATCTTCGCTCTTTCAATAATATTTGAATATACATTCATTATTTCATTTTAAGTATAGTAATTTCAAGCAATATGTTAAATGCTTTAGAAATTTCTTTTTATATATTGTTTTACGATTTAACTTTGTTTTTATGAATTGATATTCTTTTTAACGTATTTACCATGTTTAGAATAATGTTATTTATTATGTTTTTCAAATGTATTCACTAGTTCCAATAAACATTCGGTACAGAGAGACACATACATTTAGAGAGCAAACATGTGCGTTATATAATGCAAATCCGATAACAAATTATATTTGAATTGTTTGCGAAATTATGAAAAATTTAAATTTATTTCATGATTTAGTCATGATTTAGTTCTTGGTTTATTGAAATAAGTCACTCTTGCAGTTAATTTTAGAATTCTTATTCTGTCATTTATTATATAAATTATTGGTCTAGAGATCACTTCAGTTCTGTCAAACTGTAAATGACTTAATTTTGATGACTGAGGAATTTAACTATGAATTCTTTATATTGATATTGTTGAAAAAATTCCAAAGTTGAGAGTTTAAACAATCTTCATCCTGTAACAAATGTGGAATAAAGAAAATATCTTTGTTTTCATAATATTATAAAGAAATAAACTACTAATTATACTAAATTCTACTAATTATTTCTATTGACATATAATTACTTTTTATTAATTTAAAAATTTTTTTAGCTTGGTTAATTTTTATTGACATGCGTCAATTATATTATATATTTTATTCGTCATTAAGTTTACTGGTGCATCAGAAATTAACGTTTTGTGCTAAATATGGTAAAACTAAACAATTTCATAATTTACATGGAAACTTATCTATAAGGGATTTTTAGGTCACTGATGATCAATCTTTTTTAAATAGTCGTTATCAGATGGGGCACTTTTTTTCACTCATATATGTATATGTCATCAGTGGTGAACTGATTAAGATTCGTTATTTATTTTGCTACAAATGATAAATATACACGATGTGCGATGGCTTTATTCCTGCGCTAAGCTTTCCAGAAGGGTGCGATAATCGTCGTTGCAACAGCAGTTGGCAATCAAGCGATGCTCCTTGCAGTTGTTGGCATGCAGAAATTGGCAGTCTGCTAATTTACATTGGTAAGATAAATCGTAAGGATTGGTACAACAGCAGGTATCGTGGAACAATTTCTCGCCGCAATAAAGATAAATCGAATTATCGCATAGAGGACATCTGCAATAAAAGTTTAAAATAAAAATATGAATTTTGTTTAATCCGAAAATAATTACCTAGTTTTTTATTACATAAACGATCACCACGGAGTTGATTTTTATATCCTAACTTATAAATTATTATTACTAATATATTGCATTATTATTGATTATTCTACAATTTATTAGTATTAAGATTATTTTGTATAAGTATAAATAGATTTACTGTATAAATAAATTTTCCGATATAAATAAATTTTTCGATATAATGTTAATCTATTTGTACGTTTCTTGTTATATTATTAATAATTATCTAAAGTTCTGCATGAAACGTTGTATGTGACTCATTTTCAGTTTTAATGTTTTCTTTAAAAAAACTCTTCCAATGTTTAAAAACAGTTGTTTAGTTCAAAATTCATTTTAATAATTCACTTTTTGAACTAGAATATATGTTTCTTTATCACTTTTTACAAGCTTCTGAAATCTTAAAAAACATTTCCGCTTTAGACGTACATATAACATCTTAAATAACTTTGATACCAATGAAACTTCTTAGTAAAACTTACACTTGATTTTAAATAAGTATTCTTTATTGAAAGTTGATAATGTATCATTTTTAATGTATCAATTTCTTCCCTTTGCAATAAGCAATGTTATCTACATAATTTTAGATTTGTTCCCTCATTTTTTTGTTATTTGTGACGTGTAGAGAAAGAAATATTAATTATATTTAATAATTATTGAATGACAAAAGATCTAATATTCTTAATATTGATTTTTAGTTAAATTGTATAATGCAAAATAAGTTGATCCTATAAGAATGAATATAAGAAATTTATAAACTTACCTTTGTGGTTTGTATCCGAGCGAAGGGAAAGGATAATTTCCTTGAAATTGCCGTACATTCTCTGGCGAAGGTGTTAATGGCATGTTCATCACATTTGTTGCCCCTGACACATGATTGCCTGCCAGTTTCTCGTGTTCATCTGAAAGTCGCTCATAAAGGGACTTAAAAAATAACACTCTTTTTTATTTGTGACGATTTTGATATCTTACAAAATTATAATAAATTCGTAATAATTCATCAAATGTGACATAACTCGAAATATCACCGACAGTTTATACCTTGATTAACTAAAATGATTAAATTTAAAATAAAACAATTTCTTCTTCAAAATTTTGATCACCAAAACTGTTTTAATTCTAAAGAAAAGTTTTCTATAGAAAATTCTCCTTATTACAAAAACACTCAAAATGTGTTACTAAATTAAAAAATTAATAACCATTTAAACAAAAATTATTAACTTTTTATCTTATTTATACACATTAAGATGGCACACGATATAATTATCACAAATAATTTCATTAATATTTTCAAAATCACACAATAAATATGCTCAATAATTTTACGGTAAAAATTATTCAAACAAGTTGAGAAGTCGTATCAAGACTACAAATTACTATCTATGTACAATTTAAATACGATTTAATTAATAAATTTCTTTTTTACAGCATTTCATAGAAAATATCGTTTTCTTTGATGTGCAATTAAATAATTATTGAGTAAATTAACTCACCCGATATACCAAATGCACAACAATGCAATAAAACGCCCAAAAGAATTAATAGTGACATTTTCTCATTAAAAAAAAACGAACGAGATTAAATTTTCCGCGCGCACTCGCTGCAGCTCTTGACGCGGCTGAGATTTTTCAGACAAATGAGATCGTTCACTGTTCGTGCTCTTCGATTTCTTTCGTAAACCCACGTAACTTTTAGCTGGGCCTCGCCTTCCTCGTAGAACGCGGTCGATGTACCCGTTACTCGTAACTGGTTGATGATCATCTTTCTCTTCTTATGTGTCGGTGAGTCCAAAATAGAAAAAAACGCAGACGACGTATGTAGATGTTGATATTGGAAAATAATTATCTTCATGAATAATTTTGTTAGTCCTCACGGTGCGTATAATACGGTAATTTTCATTTAAAAAATCATAAAAATTTTTTAAATAAGAAACAAATAATTATTTCTCATTGAATATTCTGTTTCATCAAATAATTGCAAATAAATATATACATATTTATATATTTTCGCAAACATATATTTTTAAAATTTACTATATTTGCATTGCTTGCTGCATTGTAATTGGACACATATATATTATAATATATATTATAAAATTTTATTGTATATATTTCCTATTAATTTAAAAAAAAAAAGATTTTAGAGAGTAGTCATAGTTTTATATTATATTATATCATGTAAAATTTAATATTGTATAATATAAAATTTTGCTGTAACTTTTTACCTAAGAAACAATAAAAAATTAATCAATTTGTCATCTGTATAGATTTCTAAAAAAAGTACAATTTTTGTTATAGTTAGGTTTTTTGTAGTGATGGTGTTCTTCCGAAAGTCTATAGTGTCCCGAAAGTACACAAAGTGAACTGTCCGTTTAGAATAATTGTATTGTCTATTGACAGTCCACTTTATACGTTTGCAACGTGTTTACACAAATTAATTGCCAAAAGCATACTACACCGCGAAGCCACATCAACAATAGTTATGATCTTGTCAACAAGTTAAAAAATTTAAATATTGATAGTGACTATTGTTTAATTTCGTTGGATGTGGTTTCGCTTTTCACTAATGTTCCATTGAACTTGGCCATTAAGAGCATTGAAAAAAGATGGAATTTTATCTCAGGATATTGCAATGTTCCCAAGGATGAATTTTTGTTGGCAGTTTAGTTCGTACTCCTTGAGTATACTCTTTTTATGTTTGATGACCGAATTTATAAGCAGAACTTTGGGACACCTATGGGTCCCATTATCGTCGGTTATCGCTGGTATGGTAATGGCTGACCTTGAAGAAAGTATACTTGATAACATTGGTTTTCCGATCAAGTTTTATTATCGTTACGTTGATGATATTGTGGCAGCGATTCCTAGTACGCAAATCGATAATTTTTTAAATATGTTTAACTCTGTACATCCAAAGCTACAGTTCACAATAGAAGTAGATGATAACAAAATTAATTTTCTTGACACGACTATTTTAATTCATAACAAAAGATTAATATTACTGGTATCAAAAACCGATTTCTTCAGGTAGATATCTAAATTTTGTATCCAGACATCCTCTTTCACAGAAAAAAGGCGTGATCATAGATATGGTTGACAAAGTGTTCTTCCTTTCTAACCCAAAATTTCATTAAAAAAATTTTGAACTTATCATCAACATTTTATTAAACAATAACTATCTCTTGAATTTATTTTTAATACTATGTCTCAAAGAATAAAATATCTTATAAAAAATAGTAACACGATGAACAAAAATAACAAAAAGAATGTGCATCTAACAATAAAACAGGGAATTGAAAGTTACTTTTTAAAAGTAACAAGTTACAGTTACTCGTTACCGAATAGAAAAAGTAACAAGTTACCGTTACTAGTTAC